TCCTGGTTAAAAGAAGGAAGAGGCTAACTAGAAGCTAAATTCAGTAAAACCTAGCTAGATGCTAAAAGTGGCAAAAGCCTTGCTGAAAAGTGAAAATAGCAAAAAGCTAACTAGAAGCTAAATGCAGCTAAAAGCAGGTATATGCTTTAAGTGTCAAAAGCCTGAAACTTAAACTCAACAACAGGCTATAGATAGCTTAAAGTAGCAGAAATGCAGTTAAAACTAAAAGTAGCTTAAGAAGAAATAATCAGAACAGACTTCAAAGAGAACAAACGTGTTGACATATTAAAGTTAAATGTAAAAGTAATAATCTGAAATATTTGATGTGTGAAAGCTGAAAAATATAAATAATAATATTTAAAAGCAGTGAGATCGTTAAGAACAAAAGGAAAGAAAAGGAAAAATAAAAACTCGCAGTAACGGCAGATTTCTGCAGATTTTCCATGTTGTTTCCARCGAGCTGCAACAGAAGGGAAATCAGTGAGTTCACGGCAGCTGCTTTGGTTAAATATTAATAAGTGAGCGTGTGTTTGTGAGCGTATGACATTAATGGATGCATCATCCTGCTGGACACTTTCTAACACCTGTGTGAGGGCTGCCACTACGTGACAGAGCCGTACAAACAACAACTCCCACTCTGACATATTCCACATCACAAGAGCCGACGCTCAGGTATTTGTGTAAAGCTGTCAGAAGCAGACAGACATTTGCATTTGTAAAAATATGCTCGCAAGTCTGTGATTAACAAGAATTCATGTGTTGATATCTTTTCTTTTTTTCATGTTCGGCTGCTTAAAGGTTTCCTTCCAGCYTGTTGAATATGAGACGATGACAAAGTTGTGATCGCTGCCGGAGGACTCTCACAGGCCCAGAGGAAGAGCAGTCAATGAAACAAAATGGTTCCCTTTGCTTAGTCATTGCTGGCAATTTGGCTGAGGTTACCTTGGCAACYCAAACTTGGTTTCTCGCTGCGAGCAAAGAGAGATGGTTGATGTTCTAACGCAGCCACGACGGCGCTCGCTTCCAACAGCAACAGCCTTGGTTTTGTTTTCCRGTCAGCTCTTCAGCAGGCGATGAAYTGGCCTCATCCTCTTTAAAACGGGCTCCAGCTTTCAAACAAACACTTTTAACTGCTTAAGATTATTTTAAATCTGTGTAATATAAACATGCACTGCAGGTTTATTTATTTATTTGTTTATTTATTTATTTATTTTCTGTGATCCTGCTGCCACAGAGCGAGCGAACGTGCCTGGCTGCTCCGTTAGACAGGCTCAGTGGCTCAGAAAAAATGTAATGTTTAGATGGAGCGACACAAAGGTGCACCACTGTCTCTTTGTGCAACGGACACAAAAATCGTTCCTGCACAATGTTCTATATTTAGAACGAGAGCAACTGCAACTTTCAGCTTCTTCACAACTCATAAAGAGAAAAAATAATCTTATATTTGGTCACTTGGACAAGGATTATTTTCTCATTCATGTGACCATTTTTGTATACTGTATGTTGTGAAGCATCACCAAATTCTGGCTCAGTTCCTGTAAAATTCACTGAGCTAGAACACATTTTGTATAAAGCTCTGTTAGTTGTGGCGACCATCTTTAACTGGAGAGACTCAAAAATTTAATCATTTATAGATAAACAGTCAATAATTACTTTCTGTGAGTTTCATTCTTACTGTATTTATCTCGTAGTTTATGAAATATTCTGCTATCAGACAGGGTTAAGGCACAACCTGTTGCACTCAGTGTTGTGAACAAATCTCAGCTACTACCACACCAAATAGACTCAATGAGCCTCATGCAAGAACATGATCGTATTCTTATCCTAAATTTCTCTTACTTTTGTTCGTACAAAGGGTTCGTACGAACATGTCACGTCAGATTCAACAAACTCTTCTATCTTCAGGAAAAGTGTGTAAATGAGCTGCGTAAATTCCACCTGTTCGTATCCAGCTGCTCGTGCACGCGAGAGGAGATTAGCATAATTACCACCCCAAAAACACCATATAAGGCTGTGTTTCCTGCCTCAGATATCAGGAAGTGTCCATTCATGAAAAATGACAGTGAAAATTAAAAAGAAGAACTTTACGAGTTCAGAGATTGAAGTCCGTCTGTCAGAGATCCAGAAAAGAAAGTCTGTCATTTTCAGCAGGTCAGCTGTGGAATAAAAAGATCTGCTAAAAGTTTAAACAACTGTGTTAAATCATTTTCATTTATTCAGAAGACACAGCTCTGCACAAGTGGTCTCAGTTGCGGTTCTGAAATAAGCATTTAAAATGTTTTCAAAATAAGTCTGGCACTTTGGAGAAAATCCAGGACTCGCTGGAGGGATTATGTATCCCCTCTGGCCTGGGAACGTCTTGGAGTCCCCCAGGACGAGCTGGAAGGTGTCGCTGGGGAGAGCGGGGTCTCTCCTGCTGGCCCCGCACCCGATCCCGGATAAGCGGCGGAAAACAGACGAACGGACAATTTATATTGTTAGTCTAAATTATTACATTTAAAATTATAACTCTAATTCAAGCAGAATAGCCTTTTGTCAACCTCATTATAGAGTGTGATTTATTTTCAACTCAAAATATCTTCAAACTAACGAAATATAAAGTTATTATTGAGGAAAACCCATCTGGATAACAGCAGACTGACTGCTGGTAAAATATTCGACAGGTCTGGARCACTCCTGAATTTTGTTCGTATCTGAAAAAAATCTTAGAATATGAAAACATTGGTGAATGCCACAAATTCTCCTAAATCACTCGTATGCACAACTTAASAACAAATCTGTGCGTACGAACGGTTCTTGCATGAGGCCCAATATCTGTCAAATCAGCTGAGTTGCTGTTATTTCTGACTGTGGTGGCCATCTTTAATTTGGTTTGACTCCAAAATCAGCTGTAGACTTACACTAAAAGACAGTCGTGACCACAAATCTGCTAATACGCTAATAGCGGAACTAGCATCTTATTTAGTAGATTAGCTTTTGTTTGCTAACTTTAGAAACTGCTAGCAGGCCAATTTGCTTCCGCTAAATTGGGTCCTGCTAATTTTAAGTCCACTAAAAAAATGTCTTTTTTTTCTTTTTTGCATTTTATTGCATTTATCCTAAATTAAGTACAAACTATCCACTCTTACAGTGATAGATGTGTCAAGCACCGTCTGTAGCATGTAGCATCTTTAGCCTCTAAACTTCAAAATGAAAAGAAAAAAACATTTAACAATATTTAAATAACAAATACAAAAACTGACTGTGTAAAGCAGAGATATTCAACTGGCGGCCCACTGTAACCAAWGTTCGGCCCACCAGTTGGTTCATTCATCTCTTAAGCCCAAACCCCCGGTTTTCTACTTTGATTACTGTAAGGTCTTTTAGTTCAACATAATGTTTGGCATCTACAGAAAACATCAGTCTTTGCTATAAGCTGATAAAAGCAATTTCTATGAACATCCAAGACAGTTAAAACTACAAGCAGTTGAAGATAAAACTACGAAAGTAAAAATAAAATTGAGCCCGATGGGCCCAGTACAGGGCCTACAAGAGAAATGAAGGAGAAAATATGGGCTTAAAGGGTTAAAAATTTGGCAAGTCAGAGATATCAAAATATTATTTGTGGTAAATAAGAGACAAACTGTGTTATTTCTGCTTTTATTTTGTTTAATTATCGCTACTTTTAAAGGGTTCTGTATGTTGTARTCATGATTAAACGCAGCAAATAAACTATTTCAGAGGTAACAGATCTTTGTAATACTTGATTTATTTACATAATAACTTTAATTGCTGGATGTTCGGCCCCTCAGCTATTGACCTGCATGAACTGTYCCCTCCGGAGCAGTTTAGTTGAACAGCCCTTGAATATTGTAGAGAAATTTGCTACTTGTTGTTTAAACAGTATTCGTGAAAAATAAAAACTTGATCAAAGAAATGCTTTTATTCTGAAATGGGTAAACTGAAAGTATGAGACAGAGCTACAGTATAACTCTGATTTGGATTGGTCGATTTGTCACAAATGYTCCAACCCACCTTCAAACTAAACCAATAGAATCAAACTAACAACAGGTTTGCATCAGTCCCATCAAATCAATTAGCAATTAGCGTTAGCTTCCACTAATTTCAGGGTTTTAGCGTAGCTGAGATTCTTGTTTGGCGGTGCCCACTGAAAGATTACTTTTTAGAAGTTTCAGTAAAATCTGTTCAGTGATTCATGAGGTATTTTGTTAACAATCCAGACAAACACACACAGATGGCAGCAGGTGATAATAATGCAGCTGCTGCTTTTGTTTTTTCTTCTTTCCTTGCATCAGATAAGATGTGCTCTTTACTTGGTCAGGCATGACTGACCTTTATGGATGCCTTTCAGCTCCAGTCCTCCAGTCAGCCTCCATTTCAAACAAGCTTATCAGTCACCTATTAGCTCTCGCACCGGCTCCCTCAGCAAGCACGGGCTGAGGCGTTCGCCACAACTATGCATTCGAGCAAAAACGCAGATACTCAAAAAAAAAAAACCTACTTTGTGAAATTAAGCGGTGGACAATGTGGCTGTTGTGAGGCAGCGTCACACGGCTGTCCTTTAAAACAGATGATTCAGCTACTTTTTAAAATCCTGTGGAATTTTAGATTGTTTTAAAAATGCAAATAAGAAAATTGGATTTATTTCAACACGACAATGGTTGCTTTTTGTGGCGATGGATGTATGGGACTTTGTGTGTGTGTGTGTGTGTGTGTGTGTGGGTGTTTACTCTCCTCAGGCCAGCTGAGTTAATGTGATTGTGTTCAACATGCGTCTTACACATCCATGAGCAAAACCACATCCACCGTGTGATCCACTTGGCACAATAAATAATACAAATCACATTTACCTGCCATAGAAAACACGAGTTGAACGAGTTCACGTCAAGCTTCGTTTTGTCAGGTCWTCACGTCTGAAACTTGTTCTGGTTCATGTTGAATCCCTGTCTGTGTTCCTTATCAGTCATGGTCCTGTACATGTGAACTCCTGTTTCCTTCAGGTGGTGTGGGCATCGCAGCCACTCAGCTGTGCAAGATGGTGAAGGACGTGACTGTGTTCGGCACCGCGTCCGCCAGCAAACACGAGACCATCAGCGAGGGTGGAGTCACGCATACCATCGACTATCGCACCAAGGACTACGTGGAGGAAGTCCGCAAGATCAGTCCGAAAGGTCAGAAACTTTGGTGTCCGCCTTGATAACGTGGCTAAATCTGGACTTGGTTTGCAGAAGAGTGTGATTGTACAGTATAAATACACTGCTCAAAAAAATAAAGGGAACACTTAAACGRACGCTAAGTCCAAGTAAATCAAACTTTTGTGAAGCACATTCAACTCMGTACAGAACAAAYTYBTCAATGCGAATATTTCATTGATTAAGATCAGGAGTTAGCGTGCGTTGTTTAAGTGTTCCCTTTATTTTTTTGAGCAGTGTATATAGAATAATAAATTAAAGTGCCTGTGACATGCATGTTCTTCAAATACAAAAAGTAAAAATAAAATCTTTATATTTAAGAAAGTTGGAATAATGCGCACAATTTTACCCATTTTGTTTTTTAACTGGCAAATTTTCTTTTGAATTTTACTCAGCCGAAGTGAAACAGGAAGTGACATCAGAGGGGAACTCTTTAACAAAGAAAACTCTCTGGTCTTTGTTTATTGAAACGAAACTATTTGAGCTCTGTCTCTTCATCTCTCTCTGATAGAGACTCAAAATAATCTTAAGAAACATCAGATTCTTCTCAGCAGTTTGGGTTGTTAGCCTTTGTAGCAACGCACTGTTCACATTCAGACATTCCCCTTTGACATCACTTCCTGTTACTTTACAGGCAAAAATCTCAACAAATGTTCATCTCAGCGACATGAAATTTCTTTTGCAAAATTTCATCAATGACATGTATTCAAAAATGCATTCATATGTGTAACAAAAATTTGACATCACAGACACTTTAACTAACAAAGCTTATGAGGAAGGATCATTAGGACTTAACATTCTATTCTGCATATTAAACAATAATATCAACTCAACTATATTTTTAATATAAAAAATTTAAAATAATCTCATTTCAAATTAAAGAACAATAATTTTCTGCAAAATATTTTGAAAATATGCTGAATAGGCAGATATGAGCCAATAAATGGAAAAGAAGCAGAATGCTAGCTCAAAGCTAAAGAAACAGAATGCTATCTCAGGGCTAAAGAAGCAGAATGCTATCTCAGGGCTAAAGAAGCAGAATGTTAGCTCAAAGCTAAAGAAACAGAATGCTATCTCAGGGCTAAAGAAGCAGAATGCTAGTTAAAAGATAAATCAAGCTGAATGCCAGCTCAAAATTTAAAAGGCAGAATGCAAGCTAAAAGAAGCCGAATGTTAGCATTCTGCATTGAGATAAAAGCTAAAACAAGCCAAATGCTAGCTCAAAGATAAAGAAGCTAAATGGTAGTGCAAAGCTAAAAAAAGCAGAATACAAGTTAAAATAAGCCAAAAAGCTAGCATTCTGCATTGAGCTAGCATTCTTCTAAAAGAAACAGAATGCTAGAGCAAAGCTAAATGAAGCAGAATGCTAGCTAAATGCTAAAAGAAGAGGAATGCTAGTTCAAAAAGAAGCAAAACGTAAGTTAAAAGAAGCAAAATGCCAGCTCAAAGCTAACACAACACTTACTAAAGGCTAAAAGCAAGAAAAGCTTAAGCTAAAGGCAGCTAAAGCTTAATAAAAGTTAATAAATCCTCTTATTTCACATATTATTTTTGTTTTTGTTGTTAGTGTCTGTGATAATTAGAAAACAATAGGAAGTTTATAATAAAGGATGTGTAATTATACTAAATAATTTGTTCTTCTGTCAATAACATCAGGCTTTATGGTGCTTCTGTCTTATGAGACAACCAGGATCAATACGTTCGTCCCAACGGCTCAAAGCAATAATCTGACTGCCGCGCCTTTCGGTCGGTGTTGAATAAACTGTACTCAGGCGATACTTTTTTCTGCAGTTTTTCTCAGCAGAGTTGGCTGCAACTTGCACCAGACTGGCAGCGCATGGGYAGTCATTTTCCCACCAAACAAAGTCAAACAGTGACTCTATCTGCTACAAATAATGTAGCAACGGTTTCATGTAGCTGGATTAGAGGCTAAGAAATTCACAAGTCATTTTTTAAGCAAAATGAAACAATGCCCAGTTCCTGTTTTTTTGTTGGTTTTTTTTGTCCACAGTTGTGTTTCAGAGACTCATTRCCTCCCTTCCCCCCATAACAGACAGGCAGGCCAAGATGGAGGAGTGACACTCTGAACAGATWGTATCTAATTAGAAGCCTGGATCGATGTGCAGCGCTGCTCACCATCCATGATCCTTCTGTCTTGGGCTCTCTGACAGAATCCTGCTGCGAGCCCCTTACACTCCACAGGACCGGAGCTTAACGGGGCAAGGAGGGGAGCCCAATTTAAGGAGTTCCCTCTGGCACAAAGGTGCATCGTTAAGGTGGAACCTACATGGTTGGACATTAATAAGCCACAAGAAAACCTTTATTGTCAGGTTGTTGGGATGAACCATCTGTTCAAAGACTGAACGGGAAGGAGCTTTATTCTTCAGACAAGAATTAAACTAGAAATCCTAAATGATGAAAGAAGCTGAAACTGAGTTATTGAAGCTTAAAGAAGCAAAACACTAGCTAAAAGCTAAAAATACAAACTAACTGGACACTATAAGTAGGAGCGCACTAGTTAAAAGCTAAGAAACAGAAAGCAAAATGCAAACTAAAACCTAAAAGTCATACAAGCTAGCTAGAAACTGCAAAACACCAGCTAACAGCTAGCAAAATGCTAACTATATGCAGCAAACTACTGTTAAAACAAGATAAAAGAAAAATTCTAGCTAAATACAGCGTAAAGTAGCAAAATGCTAACTAAATGTGACAAAACACTACTAAAAACAAGATAAAAGTTGCACAAAGCAAGCTAAAAACAGCTAAACATAGCTAAAAGTAGCAAAATMCTAACTATATGAAGCAAACTACTGTTAAAACAAGATAAAAAAAATTCTAGCTAAATACAGCATAAAGTAGCAAAATGCTGACTAAATGTGACAAAACACTACTAAAAACAAGATAAAAGTTGCACAAAGCAAGCTAAAAACAGCTAAACATAGCGAAAAGTAGCAAAATGCTAACTGAATGTGACAAAATGTGATTAAAAACAAGATAAAAGTAGCAGGATGCTAACTATATGTGGCAAAACACTATAAAACAAGCTAAAAGTAGCWAAATGCTAACTATAAATGACAAAACATTATTCAAAACCATATATAAATAGCAAAATGCTAGCCAAATGATGTTAAAAAATAGGTAAAAGTAGCAAAAGAAGACAAAAATGAGCTCATATTCTGAGGTGGATTCCAAAGAAAACAATATTTTTTAAAGCATTGAATAGTTCTTAATGTATTTCTGTGGAGAATATTTACAAATCAAATTAAATATTATTGTAAAGTGTAAAAATGACAAAAACCAGCAGTCCCAGCACCTGTCTCCTGGATGAGCAGGATTCACACAAACACAGAATCAGAAGGGATCTCGTCTCGGATCACTGTCCTGCTTCATCCGATCCACTTTGTGTAAACAAGGTGCAGCTTGGCTACACTCGCTCAGCCTGGTGAACTCTGGCATGCAGAGGGGCCCCCTGATGAGATCTGGCAGGCTCCTTCTCTCTGAATTCACACCACTTCCCTCCTCTGCTGCAGGGCTGGACATCATACTGGACCCTCTGGGAGGATCKGACACCCACAAGGCCTACAATCTGCTGAAGCCTATGGGAAAACTCGTCACCTATGGTAAGTTCACACATTCAGAAGGAAAACCACCAGCTGAATTTTAGATTTTAATGATATATGGCTGTTTATATTTTGCACATATTATTAGATTTTATAAAAAAAAAAACATGAAATAACTTAAAAAACTGCCAAGTCTGCCAATGAAGATTCAGCAACAGCTTCTAAAAGCAGCTCACTGTAGCCCACCATCCACTCTAATTAATAAAATCCCAACAAAACAAACATTTTTACTGAGAAGAATCCTAAAAAACACCTCATTAAAACTTGCAGCCAAAGCCGTATCGTTAAAATATTCCCATGAATGGCTGTTAAATTCTCTTTAATCAGCCAGCAGCTGAGTCCACCCTGTCAGGTCCAGGTAATAGTCACGTCCGTTCAGTGGGCGGTTCCATTTTCAGTCCACATTCAGGCTGTTCTCACCTGATTTTACTGCTGTCTGAGTGCAGGAACCCGGTGCCCAATGATCATGTGGAGATGTTCACAAACAGGGATTTATTTCCCGGAGCACACTGGCTACATTTTGAAACTGTCTCAATAAAATTCCTTACATGCTTGTGTGAATCTTTAAATTATCACATATTTAATTATTTATAGTTAAAACAAAAAAAATATTTTTAAGGAGCTGCAATTGAATAGAATAAATGTTCGTAGTTGTGAGTAAAAGCTGCTTTCTGGTGGGCACAGTGGCCCCTCTGTGGAGGCCCATGTCCTCAGTGTGTCATCCGTGGGAAGCCCGCTACGCTCCTTCTGCTACAATGCAGACGCGAATACATGCAGTGGGCGGAGTCGGCATCCATGAAGAACAGGGCCTCGCCTTTTGCATGTTGCTCAGAAACCTACTACCCAGCATGGTGCCCTCCACCCTCACCCATTCAACCTCTCTGGTCTCTCTCGGCGCTGGCTGCCTCTCTTCRAGTTCATCAGAAGTAGGCACAGCGGAACAATGAGGCGCTCTATCCACACGAAAAACCTGGAATGTGTGTGAATGTAGCCGGCCGGGTCTCTGTTCTCTCAGAGCCTTGCTTTGTGTCGTTCGTCCCCCCGCCCCCCCGTGTCCCCCAAGAAAGAGCATAGACAGTGAAGTGAGCCACGTAAGGAGGGGGTGGGGGGTGGGGGTGCAGCTGAAGTGCTAAAAAGGATTTTAGAGTTGAAGAGGAGGTGAGAGTGTGAAACTACAGGAAGACATTGAGCAGAGGTGCTTCATACAACGTAAAAGGCAAGAAATCACCTTGCAGCACTTTTTATCAGCGATAACGTCCTGAGTTCCAAGTTATGTCTGTACAGAACCCACGAGGGAACATGGGGTATATTTTTCTTTAGCGCTTCCTCGCAATATCTTTGCATAACCTCGCAATATCGTTGTGTTCCCTCGCAATATCGTTGTGTTCCCTCACAATATCGTTGTGTTCCCTCGCAATATCTTTGCAATACCTCACAATATTTTTGTGTTCCCTTGCAATATTTTTGTGTTCCCTTGCAATATTGTTGTGTTCCCTCGCAATATTGTTGTGTTCRCTCGCAATATTGTTGTGTTCCCTCGCAATATTGTTGTGTTCCCTCGCAATATCGTTGTGTTCCTTCGCAATATCGTTGTGTTCCCTCACAATATTGTTGCGTTCCCTCACAATATTGTTGCGTTCCCTCGCAATATCGTTGTGTTCCCTTGCAATATCATTGCGTTCCCTCGCAATATCTTTGCATTCCTTCACAATATCATTGTTATTTCACAATACTTTTGTGTTCCCTCACAGTATTGTTGTGTTTCCTCACAATACCGTTGCATTACCTTGCAATATCATTGTGTTCCCTCGCAATATTGTTGCATTATCTCACAATATCATTGCGTTCCCTCGCAATATCATTGCGTTCCCTCGCAATATCATTATTTCACAATACTTTTGCGTTCCCTCACAATATCATTGTGTTCCCTCACAATATCGTTGTATTACCTCGCAATAACATTGCGTTCCCTCGCAAAATTTTTTGCATTCCCTCACAATATTGTTGTGTTCCCTCACCATATTGTTGTGTTCCCTCACCATATTGTTGCGTTCCCTCACAGTATTGCTGTGTTCCTTGCAATATTGTTGTTCCCTCACAATATTGTTGCATTCCCTCACAAAATCATTGTGTTATCTCACAATACTTTTGCGTTCCCTCGCAGTATRGTTGCATTCCCTCACAATATCTCTGTTACCTCGCAATATTGTTGCATTCCATCACTATATTGTGGTGTTCCCTCTCAATATCATCGTGTTAGCTCGCAGTATCGTTGCATTCCCTRTCAATATCTTTGTCTTACCTTGCAATACTTTTGCGTTCCCTCGCAATATCTTTGTGTTACTTTGAAATACTTTTGCGTTCCCAAACTATCGTTGTGATAGCTCGTAATACTTTTGTGTTACCTCACAAGCGTTTGCATTCCCTCGCAATGTTGTCTTGCATTCCCACGCAAAAGTTTGTTTTGTATGAAATGAGTTAAATCAGATTTTATTTAAATATCTGGTTACAGAAAAAGGATGTTTGGGAAGTTGACATTGATAGTGCGTGGCTGCACTGAGTTGGAATATCAGCATATTACATACGTCCATGCGTGGCTGTGTGATACTTTCATTCTGAAGCTGAATTAACGTACCGAATAATGGTGAGCATGTGAATTTGTTAACCGCAGGCACAACAGTGAAAAATGACTTTTGCAAGGGAACGCGAAAAGTATTGCATGGTAACGCAATACTATTGCACGGGAACGCASAAGAAAAAAATCCCTCATGTCCCCTCGCGGGCTCCATATMTCTATAAGTAGAGAGTTTTTACYTTTTTTTAAAACTTTCCTCCCATCAGGTGCAGCAAACATGCTGGCAGGTCAGAGGAAGAACCTCATCGCCGTGGCTAAGAACTGGTACCACCAGTTCTCTATCCACACACTCAGCCTGATCCAGGGGAACAAGTCGGTCTGCGGCTTTCACCTGGGCTACCTGGACGGGGAGACGGAGCTCATCGCTCAGACCATGGCGACCCTGCTGGATTTGTACAAGGAGGGCAAAATCAAACCCCGCATCGACTCCACGTGGCATTTCGAGCAGGTTGGTGTTKGTCTGAAAACAGAGTTTCTGAAATTCTATGACGCTGTTGTAAAATGCTAATTTTAGAAGTCTTTCAATAGAGAATTGTAGATTTGCTGATAAGGGTGCAAAAACACGTTGATATATTTATTAAATGATTAATGATTCAATTACATCAGTGCAAAACTTCAACCCATATCAAAATATACGCTAAACTCTGTCATTTTATGATATTACGTCATATCGATCAAAGACTTATGAATTTACCTGAAATATTATCATGACAGACTGTGATATTGAGAAACGTATCGTCATCCAAACAAATCGATATATCATATCATAATAAAGCTGCTGATTTACATCCCTAATTACCAACTGAGGTACCTCTTTTTTATTTTACAGGTAATTTTACTGATTGTGTTATATCATATACCAGAACAAATAACACCTGGAGTTTCAGAACAGTTCATATAATGCCATAAACTCTCCTTAAGACACTGTCACTGTGTGACAGGGCCTTTACATCAGGCTTTTTGTCCTTTTCCCTGTTAAAGTTAAACATACACCTTTAATCGGAACAAAAAATTTACTAGAAACAAACGTTTTCAAGTTTAAAGTCACCACTTCTAATTTATTTTTACATTATTTACTTGTTACTGTGTAGATTATAATAAATGTCCAAAACTGGGAATAAAACAACAACAAAAAAATCTAAATTCATATTATTCTTACAAAAAAATCTTGTGAAGTGGGGAACAATGGGGGGGGTGGGGTGGGGGGCACCAATTATTTAGAGGTGACCCCACTGACCCCTCTTTAGTGGCGTCCCTGCCAACAAAATTCCTGAGCTGATTGGTTTTAATACTTGAACTCTTTGTGATATTGATACAATGACTGCCTTTTGTGACAGATTTTCAAACTAAAATCATGGTTTATTGAGAAATGATGGAGGTWTAGCAGTTTTGGTCAAACTTTGTGTAGAAAAATATAAAATTTTTACTATAATACTTGACCTTATAATGGTCATCTCTTCCTGGTTATACCTCTGGAGGTGTTACCTTTTACGTCAGACGTAGAACGTAACTCATTTTTGTTTAGGCTAAAGAAAGAACACATGATAAGACACACCAACTCTTATTCTGTTTAAACTTAAAAGCTGAAATGATCAGAAAGTATAAAATACAAAACTGCYTCTTATTTTCAWTTAATCCGTTACAAAATTTACTTCACTTGAATTAGGTTTAYTATTTATTAATGACAGAAACTCAGAACCTCTTATCAGACTGTACTTGTTGTGGAAATGTGGCAACAGTGCAGTTTGACAAATTTAATGTCAGGCAGCTCTCTCCACACCTTTTCATGGTCACTATAARAATTAGTTTGCCTCATGTCCTCAACTGGACAAAAACGATTTAAACAGAGACACATATATCTGTGATTAATAAGAATTTAGGATGGGTGGTGTCAGATAGGATGTCGATTATCTCTTCATTTATTATCTCTCATCATTTTCRCTATTTAAAAATAAATTTACACTGAGAGCATCGGACTGAATTTATGCTTAGATCTCTCTGAATGAATAATTGTGACTTGGCTACAGCTACTCCATGATTACATCCATGTTTATATCTTTCTGTGAGCCCACAGTGCATGTGAACACACAGTGCATGTGGACACACAGTGCATGTGAACACAGTGCATGTGAACACAGTACATGTGGACACACAGTGCATGTGAACACACAGTGCATGTGAACACACAGTGCATGTGAACACACAGTGCATGTGAACACACAGTGCATGTGAACACAGTACATGTGGACACACAGTGCATGTGAACACACAGTGCATGTGAATAGCAGGTGGTCTGTGTCTCTGTTCGGTGGGGGGGAGCTGGGCGTGGCCCCGCGAGGCTCACGTTCAACAAGGGGAAGTTTGTCCGCAAGAAGCTCTTGCGTCTCCTAACTCACTCGAGTCGACAAACTCAGATTGTTGCTGACAAAATCACCACTGCGAGAAGATGTGAATAGAGAGGAGGAGGAGGAGGAGGAGGAGGAGGGGGGGGGTGGATAAAAAGGGGGTGTCAGAAGCTGACATGTTCTGTTGTCGGAGTCAGAGCTGGTCAGTGTTTTTGGCCGGAGAGAAACACCCGCTGTCTTCCTGCTCCATCTGATGCTCTTTCTCTGCTCCTCCATCTGTCTGCTCTGTAGATCACTTTCTTTTCTGCCATCGTTAGGTTATTGACTCTCCCTCTCCCTCTCTCTGTTGMGCTTTATTCTCTTCTCTCCGCTCACAGTGTATCTTTTTTGCTCTTCCTCCCTTGTTGCCATGGTGACATCCTTTAGTCGGCGTGTGCGTGTCTCAGGGAGGGGCCTCTGATGGACGAGGAAACACAAGCGTGATAAAAGTGGGAGCTGGTTTTTGTCTTTCGCAGCGTAAAGTTGCGGTCGTGGCGCGAGGAGCGATGGGTTCTGAGTGGACTCTAAATGCCACACCCTGACCTTAATCACACACACACACACACACACACACACACACCTCCTCCCCGTCGATAGTTGATTAGCAGGAGGAATCGATGAACCTGCTCGAGCAGCGTTTGGAAAACGAGGTTGCTGGTTCCTCGCCGCGGAGTCGTTACCTACAGACGCCTTGGGAGGATCGTTAACCAGAGACGTGAGACAAAAGAGACGAACTCGTTTAGATTTTCATTCACATCGAAGACGATTCTTACAATTCCTCAACTTCATCCTCTCCTCTGAGGGGAACCAGCCCCCCCCCCCCCCCCCCCTCATTTCAAACTCCCACTCTTCCCTCGAAGACGATTCTTACAATTCCTCAACTTCATCCTCTCCTCTGAGGGGAACCAGCCCCCCCCCCCTCCCCCCCTCATTTCAAACTCCCACTCTTCCCTCGTTCCCATGAGCCGAAGCCGTCAGAGCCACGTCTCAGCCGGGCTTTACGTTGCTAGGAGATGGCCCTGTTGCCGTGGCATTGGTCGTTAGGTGGTCTGCCTGCCTCGCACAAATGGGGGGTGGGGGGGGGGGGGCCTGGAAGAAAGAGGGATGAGATGGAGACAGGAACAGACAGGGTGGACACGGCTCTGTGGTCAAGAGGAGGGTGGGGCAGATCCTGGCTGAGATCCCCCACTTATCATCATCATCAGGATGAAGAGGCTCAGTTTATTACTGGGAGGTGGGGGTGGTGGTGGTGGTGGTGCGGGGGGGAGCTCAATCCTCTGAAGAACATTTTCTGATATCTTTCACGATTTGTGATGAAAAGGGTTTTTCCGATCAGAGGAACGGCTTGACGATGAATAAAAAGGAGTTTTTCTGCTGCTTGTTTGACCTTTTAAACCTGATCCAATAAATGTCAAATTAACAATTTAAAACCAATCAAACGTTACAGCCGTTTGTTACAGCAGCACTGTGTGGCCCTCTGCTAGTGTCAACACAAAATTGTCGCCCCTTATATCCTTTAATTTGCCCATCCCTGTCCTGTAACATAAATATCTGTAATGTTTGCCTGGCTTTAAATTTGTTCATTTGACATTTATTGGATCAGGTTTAAAATGTCAAAGTACACACACGCGCGCACACACACACACACACACACACACACACACAGTATATAT